AAAATTTCCATCCTTTTGATTTCTTACTTGATCGCTATTATTGCAAAGATCTACGTCTTTTAATTACCGAAATGGGATTTCAAGGGAGGATTTTGATGAGATCCGTCGCCTGATAGGTTACAGAGTGTTTTTCCTTTTCATTTTAATTATTTCGCTAGGGCTGATGTTCTGGGATTCTTGTTCCTAGAGAAGATTTTGCAATATCAATGGTTTAATAGCCATCCTATTATTTTTAATTCTTTGAATAAGTGTTTTTGGTCTCTAAATTGATTATTGCATGGTGTCTTTGAATTTTATTTATATTTGAAATCAGCGTTGGATGGCTTGACAGATCCTTGAGTGGTTTTTGGGCATTAGTTATAGGAAGTAACCTGCCAAGTCTGCCTTCATTTAGTATATCGGCTAGGTTCATATCTTTTCTAAAATTGGGGATGGAGATGCTTATTTTGATATTTTTGTTCAGAATAGGTGCAATACATCAAGACTTATAATGGAGGTTACTGTGTTCACTCCCTCTTTGGAAGGAATGGAAGCTGTCAAGTCTGAGCAAGGAGAGATGCTCACAAAGCCTTTTCTTGATGTCTGCAAACATATCCTGCCAGTTATAGGTAGTTGATTTCATCTTGTACCACTTCATATTTTTGCAAAGCAACGATTTTTATTGAATAATTTATGCAAGCACTCGACAATTTAGGTTATTTAATTTAGGAAAATTTACATGCATACAACTTTATACCATTCTATTTACATATCTAACACCCAAAATTTTAATATAACATACATAGCACCCTATATTATTTTAATATCAAATATACCACTCATATTTTTTTTTTTTTACTTTCACTCATATATTTAATTTATACTACTCATATTTGATATGAAATGAACTATGAGTGTTATGTATGTAATATTAAAGTTTTAGGTGTTAAATATGTAAATATAATAGTATAGGGTGGTATGTATGTAAATCAGAATGGGGGAACTTAGTATTTGCTAACCATATGATGTCACTGCAGATTAGCTTGCTTTGTATCAAACTAATGGAACTTAGTTCATGATAATTGTGTACTGGTTGTTATTATAATTACTCAACTATGTTTTAGGTCTGTATCATTATTTTTAAAATATGCTCAATCTAATTAAATTTATTTCAATTTTAAAGGATAACTGCTCTTCCTTGAGAATTAGCTGGGACACAAAACTTAACTTTTGTTTTGAAGCCAAAATGATTTGAAGCGCCACTTTCTTGCATGTTGATATCCACATTCCAGGAGATACCTAGCATGTTGCAAGGATGTCACACAAAAACTTTGCTGTTATTTGCTTCCTTATATTGAAGTATGGGTTACACCTTTGTTTGAATATTCTTAGACAATAAATTCAAACATTTGATGAACTTGTCGAGGCGCTTCTGGATGAGTTTAAATTTGTTTTTAAATAGTTTGTAAATTTTAAAATAATTGTAGGCTTTGTAAAGCAATTGATCCCCTTTTAAAGTGAGAGGATTTTAATTCAACTTATTCTTAGCCCATGCTGCATTCCTAGATTTTATGCTTGAATATTTTGCACTTGCCGGTAAAATTGATTTTGATTATTTGATGTGTTGTGCGCTCTTTTTTTATGCATTTTTTTAAAAAAATTTGGTGCATTCGCATGTTGCACTGACATGTTCACATATATACTTGCACAATGTGCTTGTACATTTTTTTATGCATTTGCATATCATACTTGCATGTTTCTAACTATATTAGCATGCTTTTCAACGCTTCTGTACGATGCACTTGCATGCTTTTCAATGCATTTGCACGATGCACTTGCAATTTTAATGCTTATTGTATTTGTGTTTTTGGAACATTGGTGTGCTTTTCAGAGCAATTGTACGCTTCTTGAGGAAGAGACATATTTATCAGGATAGTTGTATGCTTCTTGATGTGGCTATATGCATCTTGAGTTGGTTACATGCTTCTCAAGATAATAACATTCTTTTAAAAGTATTTATTTGTTTTTCTAGGCAACATCACGTTTTTCAAGGCAGACGGATGCTCTTAAGTTCACTTTGCGCATTTTGATCCATTGTGCTCGAATTTGATAATTATGTATCGGAGGATGCATGATTTGAAAAGATTCAAATTTTGGTTATTTACATGAGAGTTTATTGTTGAGATGTGTGTAGAATTTAATTTTTTATTTAGTGTATGTGTTGGAGATTTGATGGCGAAGAAGATGAGTTGAATCTTTTAATGTGTTTTGAGATTCCATGATTTTTTGTTGTTTACATGTGGTTAGATTTTATTTAGGTGGATCCTAAAGGAAATCAGATTTTCTTATTATAAATTAGGTTACTCCCTTGTTCATTTTATTATTCAAGTTCACACATAATTTTGAGCTGTTTGAGAGTGCTTAAGAGTATAAGAAGTGTATGTTCATATTTGTTGGCGAGCCGTTGAGTTCATTTCAAGTTCCATGTAGTCCTATGTGTTTATTTCACCTCGTGTGATATTTAGGATGTTTAAATTTTTGCTCTAAACTTGCATTTTGTTCAATCATTTCATTATGTTCAATTTTAAAGGGGGTTTTTAATGTTGTGTTTCCAATAAGTTCATTCAGTCTAAATTTCAGCACTTCCTAGTGTCTTTCCCGCATAGGGGTGTCTTTGAGGGGTGTTAGTGATGTAGGACTACAATGCATGCAATAACTTGAAAAGAACTTGCACGATTTATTGATTAGAATAATAAATATTAGAACTATTAGCAAATAAAACGACAAAATAAAATGTAAGAGCAATCACTTCTGTTTAGGCTAAGTTACACAATAAGAGCTTTGAATCATCAAAATAACATAGGAAATCATCAACATGCAAATATAATAGCTTTCAACGAAAATCCCTAATCTAACAATAATATTAGAAATAAATGAAGTGCACTCAATCCCTATGTTTACTAAGCTCGGCAGAGTTAAGCGAACACGATCTTCATGACTCAAATCAAATCCCAAGGAAGGGGGTTAGACTTTAAGAAATACAAGAAAAGGAAGATTAGAAGACCTTCGTCAAGTATCGGTTGTAATCCTCCACTGGACGGTACCAAGTTGCTCTTCAATAGCCTCGACCAAGGTGTCCAAGATGCGCTCTATGTACTCTTCTACGGTGTGGTCGATGTGCGGGTTGACGTCGAAGAAGGTAGAGTGCAGGTTGCAAACAAATCCTTGTTTGTCGTAGGAGAGGCTGTAGTCAAGATTCGAATCGGCCATGCATTGATCTTGTCGCGTTGAGGTATGGATGGAAGTGTTCTTTGCTTGTACTTGTTGGTTTCCCTTGGAGAGAAAGAAGTGTCTCTCCAAAATTAAGCAAGAGGATGGGAGATGGAGTGGCCGTCCAAGGTAAGAGGATAGGGGTCTACTTTAGTTCAGATTTTCAAGAGTTAAGTTGGAAATTGAACTTTGAATTCCTCTAATCAAGTCCCAACTTTGGAAATAATTAAAGAGGAAAAGGGATGAGGGAGGGGGAGGGTAGGAGAGAGGAGAGGGGCTTTGATTTGATCCCAATAGGAGAAGCTTTATTTTTGGAAAGAAATTAATGTGGGGCATGGGGGTTCGGCCAAGTCGAGAGGGATGGGTGCATGAGACTAGGTGCAATGTATCTTAGGTTAAGGCATTAATTAATCAATCAATTTCGGTTTGAATTAATTTATTTAATTAAAGAACCTTTCCCAAAATAGGATTAATGGAATAGGAAAGGATTTAATCAATTAATGCAGATTTGGATTATTTGATTCAATTAAGCTTCTTTCCAAAAATAAGATCAAGGCCTTAGGAAAGAATAGGGAATTAAATTTGAATTATTTCCAATTCAAATTCTTTCCAAGAATCGATTGGGATAAATTAGGAAAGTGGGGATTTAGGAAATAATTCAAAGATTGGAAGAGGGGTGGGGGGCCGGCGGCTTGATGAAGAGGGTGGACCGGCGGTTGTGGTGGTGGTGGGGCGTCGAGGGGAAGGAGGTGGGGACGGTGGGAAGAAGTGGTCGGAGGTTCAAGCGTCGGGTGGAGCTTTGGGCCATGGGAGGGAGAGAGGAAGGTGGAGCCGACGATGGTGGAGGGGAAAAAAAAAACAAGATAGATAATAAAACCACAAACCCGACTTGTCAAGGTTCGTGGGTGATGCGCAATTCTCCCTCTCCTAGGGATCTCACTCCAAACTCTCTAGCTCTCAAGAGAACTCAAACAAAGAGAAGAAAAATTTGTAATCAATCATTCATTCATTAGCTTCAACATGAGAACAGTTGGGCTATAAATTGCCTCATACAAAGACTCACAAAAACAAAAGGACGACAATGTCCCTAGTGCTTACATACAACCTCCCTTAATAAAAGAGTACAACGGGAAACTAATAAAACAAATACAATATGACATCAAAAATAAGAAAATACATAAAACAATTCAGAAATTTAATGACTCAATTGTGGCTGTAGATCGACGGCCACGTCTTTGATAGACTCTCCACGATCTAATGTTCCCATCATTCTCCCGGGGTGGGAGAAAGCTCGACTCTGTCAAGTAAGCGTCTGTGGTACTCTCGTAGATCTCTAAAGCATCGGGTCAATCTGCTACAGCTCATCATGATATAACCATGTATCCTCTGACTCGGGCTTTCCTTTCCACCTGATCAAGTACCTCATTCGTCCACCTTCTCTTGTGGAGATGATATCATCACTCAGGATCGAGTCCACTTTTTCTGCCATGGGTGATTTGGATATATTTGGTAGTGGAGGTAGGTTTGAGTTCTCACTAGGTGGGGTCACACAAGACTATTGTATGAGTGGATTTGATGGGTTGAAATCAGAACCTTCATATGCAACTATATCTTCTATATTAAAGGAGGGATTGATGTTGAATTATGCAGGCAGATCTACTACATAAGCATTATTATTGATTTTCTTAAGTATTTTGAATGATCCAGCACTCTTAGCATGCAGCTTCTTAATTGTTCCCTGTGGGAACCGTTTCGGACGAATTCGCACCATCACGGAGTCACCAACCTTAGAAGTTTTAAATCTTCATTTTAAATCCGCATATAGTTTGTAATCATTATTGCTCTTTTTAATTTTTCGTGCAATTTCTTTATGAAGTTCATGCAAATGTGATGCAAATGATGATGCAAACTCGAAAATCTTATACTTAGACCACATGGGTATAAGGTCTAGAGACTGTCTAGGTTTGAACCCGTATACAATTTCAGGACTTAGGCCAGTGGTTCGGTTAATAGAATTATTATACGCAAACTTAGCAGTAGGCAAAATGGAATCTCAGTCCTTAATGTGCTCGCCAACCAAAGATCGCAACAAGTTACCCAAACTCCTATTGACTACCTCGGTCTGACCATCAGTCTATGGGTGAAAGGCAGTGGAAAATTACAATTTCATACCCATTTTCATCCAGAGGGTTTTTCAAAAATAGCTAGTGAATTTCACATCCCGATCTGAAAAGATGGTTTTGGGTAAGCCATGCAAACGGACGACCTCGTTGAAATAGAGTTTGGCAATGTGAGAGGTGTCGGACGTGTTGGAGCAAAGTAAAAAATGAGCCATTTTGATAAATCGATTTACAACAGC